CGGGCCCCGTGCCCAGCGTGAATCCCAGAGGCCGGGCCCCGTGCCCAGGGTGAATCCCAGAGACCGGGTCCCGTGCCCGGTGTGAATCCCAAAGATGGAGCCTGCTCCCGGGGTGAATCCCAGAGCCTGGTAAGAATGCAGTAATGCTGTAAATGAACGTAGGGTAAAGTTCATTGTGACAGAGCTCCCTTTTTTCCTGGTAGAGTGGTTTGCATCAAGTAGTGACAGCAGGATCCTGCGGGACCTGGACAACACGTCTGTGATGGAGGACAGCCGAAAGAAGCTCAACACCCTGGCTCATTGCAAGGTGAGGAGCAGCTGAGACAAGTTCATCCTGAACCAGTTTATGTGCCAGCCCAGAGAGGCCTTGCTGTACTGCAGAGTCTAACCAACCTCTCCCAGCATCTGCCTTTACTGGGATAAAATCATAGAATCCCTACAATGCGGAAGTGGGCCATTCAGCCCATCGGGTCCGCACTGACCCTCCAAAGAGCATCCCATCTAGACCCATTCCCTACCCTATCCCTGTAACCCTGCCTATCCTGTGGCTAATTCACCCAGCCTGCACATCCCTGGACACTATGTGCAATTTAGCATGGCCAGTCCTCCTAACCTACATATCTTTAGATAGCATACGCGCCCTCAGCCTGTTGCTTTCCCTTGGAAGCTGCTACACCCAAAGTTTCTGCCTTCAGCTAGCCATCCCTACACTGACTGACACCCACCACCCCCCACCATCCCAAGCACACAACTCTCCAAGTTTGTCTGTATCTCCCAGACACTGTCTGAGATCCTTGTCCATCTCCCTGCTATTCTGTTTCTCTGACACTGCCAAATTAAATTTTTTTGTTTTTCTCATAGATCTGAAATAGTCCTCGCATCGGTAAATGTTTAAAACGTGGAGTAGATGTGTGAGGATAAACATTGTGGGGTGCAATGAACATGACTGTAACAAGGATGAGCTGCAATTTCTTACTGTTAAATGTTGCAATGATCGCACCTTCTCTTCAGACCCTGCTCTAGTTTGCCTTGCCCCTGACTCAGACTGAACCAGGCTCTCTATATCCCTCAGTTTGACTCTGAACTCCTCACCATTAGTGCTGACTGTCAGCAAACTGCTGAGTTCTACCTCGGGAGACTCCTTCAATCTCCGCTGACCTGCTCCTGAAATGCTCAAACTCACCGATGCCTCCCAGATGTCACCATTATGACAATCTGCCAGCATCTTTAAAAACCTCGGCTGTCCATCTCCCAACTCACACCAAATACCAAGAAATTAGGAATTTCTTTTTCTGAGGGTTGAGAGTTTTTGGAATCCCCTTCCTTAAAAAGCAGTGGATACAGAATCCTTAAACACTTTTAAGGCAGCATTAGGTAGATTCTTGATTGTCGGGCGGGTGAAAGATTATTGGGGCTGTGCAGGAGTGTGGAGTTGATATTAAAATCATATAAGCCATGATCTTATTGAATGGTATAGCAAGTTCAAAGGGTCAAGTTATCTACTCTTTTTCAAATGATCATGTGTTTGTCTTTCTGGGCAGTTCATTATCCCCAAATGTTTCTCCTTATGATATGGGCCAACATTCCAATTCACAGATCCCAGACTCTGTAAATTCTGCTCCTGCCTTTCCAACTCACTTTCATCCTTTAATATACACTTTAGAAAGAATACCTTTGACTAAGCTTTCAGTCCTCTGACCTACAATCACCTGATGAGTCTCATTTGGAGCTTGTCTGAATAGTCTGATGCTTTTACTACTTTGCAGGATATTAGTGTGTCTGTACTAGTTTTGTGACTGTTCTGATGATAGGGTATAATTTATATGCATATGTACTAATATCATCGTTTGGAGTTTGGATTTCAAAATAGAAGCAGATGGATGCCGGATATTTCTGTGAAGGGTTTTCATTTTAAAAAGAAAGGTCAGAGTGTCCTTCTGGAAGAGTGAATAAATCAAATGATTTATCAAAGAGCTGGTGTTAATAGAAAGCTGTTTGCACTGTTTGGTCTCTGTCAGGTAGGGTAAACATGTGCAGGAAGGATATTATTAAATTGGAGAGAGATCAGAAAAGATCAACCAGGATGTTGCTGAGACTAGAGGGTTTGAATTATAAGGAGAGGCTGGATAGGCTCAGACTTTTTTCATTGGAGCATAGGAGGTTGAGGGGTAACCTTATAGAAGTTTATAAATTCATGAGGGGTACAGGTAAGGTAACTAGCAAAGGTCTTTTCCCTTGGTTGGTTGAGTTCAGAACTAAGGGCATATTTTTATGAGAGGAGAAAGATTTAAAAGGGACCTGAGGGGCAGTATTTTCACACAGAGGGTGGCTCATATGTGAATGAACTGGCAGAGGAAATGGTAGATGCAGGTACAGGTGCAACATTGAAAGACATTTAAATAGGTAAGAAATAAGAAAGATTTAGAGGGATATGAGCTAAATGCAGGCTAGTGGGACTAGTTTAATTTGGAAAACTTGGTCGGCATGAGTGAGTTGGACTGAAGGGTCTGTTTCCATGCTATATGACTCTATGACGCTATAACAACTTGAACCTCATGTGAAAATGTCTCGATGATTAACCACCACATGAATGAAACAAAGTAAAATTGAGCCAGATCACAATCTGCATATTACCATAAACCAGGGACCTGGTTGACGCTGCCTGCCATGTGACACTGTGGCAGTGACCTTTCACTTCTGTCTCCAGGTCCCTGATGGAGCATCATTGGCCATGAGCTTGAAGGACAAGTGGGATGGTACACTCGGACGAGGTAGGTCTGATCAAAGCTGGACCTCCAGTTACAATGACATTCCTGGAGTCATAGAGAAGGGAAAATGTAGGGAACATTTCGAGGGACAGATACAGCTCTGAGAGGTCTGGGGGTAAAAACAGGAGCTGCAAAAAGCCCAGGAGGTAAAAACAGGGGTATGAGTGGCCAAGGGGGTATCTACAGCTTTGTGAATGATCAAAGGGGTAAATACAGAAGCTGTGAATAGCTCATGGGGCAAATACAGGGATATGAATTCCAAAGGGTAGGTAAAGGAGGTATGAATGGCTCAGGAGTAAATATAGGGGGTATGAATGGTTAAGGGTAAATATGGCGGTATGAATGGTTCAGGGTAAGTATAGGGGGTATGAATGGTTCAGGGTAA